TAACTGGGAATGGCAGCTCAATTTTAGGGTAACTGGGAATGGCAGCTTGGCTTTGCTGCTGCTTTTGAGCTTCAGCTGCAAACTGAGACTCTGTGAATTGGCCTGGAGCAGTTTTGTGCCCCGAGCTGGGGAGGGCAGAGGGGATAAAAGCAGCTGAACAACAAGAATTGGGGTACTGTGCAGCCCAGCCAGGCTGAACACGTGGCAGCCTAATGCCAGGAGGGCTTTTAGAGCTTTCCAGCCTCCCTCGGGCAAGGGGCCAAATCTTTGGCTTCTCAGCTGCTCCTCCCTGGCAGCTGAGCAGCTCTGGGGCCAACTGCAGAGGCTGCTCCGTGCTCAGAGGTGAGTTCATTAAAAGAGCACCTGTTAAATGAGAATTAAAGCAGAGTCTCTGCCACCCCCCGTGAGGGGAAGGTGAGGGGAAGGTTTGAATAAAATCCCTGCAATTGCAGAGTCACCCAGTGAGGTGTCCAGGTACAGGGAGAACCTGAATGGGACCTTGTTTGGGAGCCAGTCCTTTGGAAAGGGGCTGGGGTGAACTTTGGGAATGAGCCTAATTAGAGCCGTTGGGAGGAAACAAAAGGCACTTCTGAGCTGCCACTTCTCACCCTGCCCCCGGGACAGATTTGGGGGGTGACTGTCCCAGGGACTGTCCCAGGGACTGTCACAGCCTCTCAATGGGAATTATCAGCTCAGGGTTACAGTGGTTTTTTTTTTTCCAGCAGGCCAGAGTATGTTAATAGATGCAATTTGCCTTCTCATTAACTCGTTAATTTGCAAATTTGGGTGGCTGGCAGTGGGCTTTTCAGCCCTTAAAGTGAATTAGGGATGATTTGCAGTTAATCTCGTTACTGGGCTTTAGGTCCTCGGTGCAGCTACTTAAAAACTATTTGATTTAATAGCAATAGTGCCAAGTTTAATAAAGAACTGTGCATCAAGAGCTTTACCTGTAACGTGGTTGCACTCAGTGATCTTAAAGGTCTTTTCCAACCCAAACAATTCTGTGAGTCTGCTTAGTGTCTGAAACTGTTCAGATCCAACTCTTCTAAAAGGTTTTTTAATGTTTTTATTTTTTTTTTTTAAATATGAGTTTGTTTCCAAAAGGGGATGAACAGGATACAGATCCAGCACGTCTGTCCCAGCAGGTGTCTGGCTCTACAAAAGTTTCTTAGAATTCAGCTGTTCCTTTTTTTAAGTTATTATTAATTTTTATTTTTTTTTTCCCCCAAAAGCACAGTCTCTGCTGAACGTTTAAATGTCACAGATTGGTCCAATGAGATTTCCAGGAAATGTGCTGGCCTGGGTGGGTGGGTGTGTCAGAGGATTTATAAGAGAGAAAACCTGGGAGGAACCTCAACAAACCATTTCTGGAGGGTGGGAGGTCAAGGTGTAGGAGCTGCAGGTGCTGGGGGAAACAGGACCATGATGTTTGTGTGTGTGTGAAGAGTGGGATGATGTTGTTCAGATGATCTGAACATTGCAAGAGCTGGGCAGTTCTGAGTTTGCCTCGTAGCCAGGGCTGGTGGTGTTGACACAGCAAACCCTGAGCCCCTGGGGTCTGTCCCTGCCTCAGCCTGGGGGGTTTGCTGGGCTTGTTGAGGTCTCAGAAGGCCAGGGGGGCTCATTGTCTCCTTCTCTTGCAGGTTTCTGCAGGTGAGAGCAGCTCTGTGCCCTCTGCCCTGCTGGAGGATGGCCATGGTGAGCTCACAGGGCTGGGGGAGATAATTCAGCTCAGCCCCCTCAGATGATCCACTGACACAGACTGTGCTAAAGATCTGCCCTGTGCCCAACTCCCACTGCATAAGAACTTCTCTCACGTTCAGAGTTTTTTGCAGCTGTAATTCTAAGACATTTGTAACTCCTGCTTGCCCTGGTTGAAGACTTTTTTAAGTGTTAAAAGCTCCCTCACCTTTTCACCCAGACTGATGCCCCGTGAGCACGAGCTGCCCGTGGTTTAAAGCTTTAAAGCCTCCCTGTAATTGCATTTTTTTTTCTCCCTCCTCTGCTCCCTCAGCTGGCCAGAACTCGGAGAGCGAGGCAGAAGCTCAGAAACCTGCTGGCACAAAGCAGCAGAACGTGGGGGCCAGAGCAGCTGCCCAGGCTGAGGCCTCCCCACCCAAAGCCGTGAAGGTAACACAGCTCCTCAATCCCAGACATTCAGGGGGGGGTTAAAACCATCTGACACCCCTGTTTGGGGTGCTGGAGAACCCTCAGTGTGGGCACAGAGGCCTGGCAGTGAGTGGGCTGATGTCTGGCCAGGCTGTGCTTGTGAGGGAATGATTTAAATCAGGAAATCAGGAAAATTTAAATCAGGAAAACACCTCGAAAAGGGGGTTTTCCTCCAGAGGTTGGCTCAGGAATTGCTTGTTGTTCCACAGACTCTGCTCCTCCTCGGTGTGGGAGAAGGGGTTGAGCAGGGGGTGGTGGTGGCAGAGCCTGTCAGTGCTCCCAGAGGTGGGCCCTGAGCTCCTGGGAGTGATCTCCAGAGCCTTCCAGCACGCTGGGACTCGGCTTCCCACCCTCCTCTTCCAGCTGCTGCCAAGGGAGCTGCAGCTGGGAGCAGCTCCATAGTCAGGGCACTGTGCTGCCTGGCCCTGGAAAGGTCAGGCTGGGCTTTCTGAGGGGTCTTTGATGTTCCAGTTCCTTCAGGGCAGCCTTTGGGACAGGAATGTGTTTGTTAATCTGATTTAGACCCCGAGGGGCAGCAGAGCTGGGTGTTGTGATCCCGCTGCAGTTCCCTGTCACATGAGCTGTCTGGAGTTGGGATGAGGGTCCCCCTGGGCTGCCACAGACTTCCTGGCTCACTCCTGAGGAAACAACTGGGCTTTTGTTGGTTTTTGCCCCATCTTTGGGAGGGACAGCACTGACCTCAGAGATCAGGGAGATGTGGCTTTCCCAGCTGGGAATGCCGGGGTGGGGAACTGGAGCTGCCTGGAGGAGCTGTGTGATCTCTGGTCCTGGTCCTCTCTGCTCTCTTTGTATCATTAGAACCATTTTTAGCCTTTTTGCCTTGTTACTGCTTTAGATGCTGCACTGTGAGATAGAAACCCAGCTGCTGTTTATTCACCTAAGGTTCCTATTTGTCTCTTCCAGCTTCTGTCTCCTGTTCTTGGTTCCTAACCTCTCCTCCTGCCTTCTGCTTCCCTCCTAATGTGAGCTCAACTCTCAGCTTTCTCTCCAGTCCTTTTTTTTTTTTTTACATTTATTGGGCCTCACCTTCCTCCTGTAGCTCCTTTTTGTAGCATCCTGGGAAGGAATTCCTGTCTCTTCACCCCCCAAAAACGTCTCTCCACAGACATAGGGCCCACTGTGTGCAAGTAAGTTCCTCTCCTTGCCTGGGGGGGGTGATTGCAGAAGGACCAGGGCCCTCCATCACTGTGCAAAACTTAAAACCTTCAGGGAGAAGACTTTTTAATTGGCATTTTTTTTTGAGGTTTCATTTAGGGACTCAAAATTCAGAGTTTCGGCAGCACCTGGAAATTGTGGATTCTTTTTTCAGGAGGAATTCTGAATTTCTGGTAGCCGACCCGTGGCTATGAGAACTTTAATCTGTTGTAACCTCAAGCAATACCATTTAAAATGGAATTAAATTGGCAGCAAACTTTCTGGCTGTGACAAAAACTGGCTCTGCCTTCAGCAATCTGCCCCCTCGGACCGTAACTTTCGTTCCTGGCCATTGTTCCTGGGCTGTTATAAATAAATTGCTGTGATTATGTCTTCCTGTGACCTTCCTGTTTTTTTTCTTCAGCCATCAGATTTTTTTTTTTTTATTTTCCTTAAAGCTTTTTGTAAGTTTGGAGGAGGAGGTAATTCTTTGTCAAAGAAAAGCCACGCTCTGAGTGTGTCTGGGCAGGGTGTGGAGCCCGAGCTCTCTCCTCCTCAGCTGCCAAATTAGTTCTAATCAACTAAATCAGCCTCAAACTGCCAATTTTTTCAACTGTGTTATTTAATTTTCCCTGCAAAGTGTTTTCCCCCCTTGGCCAGAGTTAATAGATTCCAAGGAGCAAATGGCACCTTTTCTCATGGACAGTGTTTTTTTGCTTTCTTTGGTGCTGTTGGAAAACAACCCCAAAGTCACAGCAGTGCCACTCCACTCCTCAGTGTCCCTCAGGGCAGTTCAAGTGAGCACAGCAGAATTTTAGCTGTTTAACCTCAAAAGCTCTGCTCACTTTCTTCAGCAAGTTTGGGGGCCCTGGGTCCTGAAACCCCAGTGTGGGTTCTTTGGGATGGAGCTGGGAGTGAAGGCAGGGAGTGTTTCCTGCTGCTGAGACTGTTCCCTCCTCTTTGAGAGGGAAGATTTGGCAAAAGTGGATTATTTCAAGCCACTGAGCAGCCTTTCTTTCACTCCTTTCCTCTCCCACCCTCCACCTTCTGAGGCTGCTTCAGCTCTTCCAGTGAGAGGGGTCCCTGCCCACAGCAACGAGATGATCACCAAGGTCCCTTCCCACCCAAACCATTCCAGGGTTCAGTTTTTTCTGCACTATTTTTAATCTTCTGGTAAAGTCTCATATTGACTGTAACTGGATGTTTCATCATTTTCCTATCAAGAGAAGCTGAGGCTGCAGGAAGAGGTCACTCAGCTTTTGGGAGCCGGCTCAGCTCTGCTGTTTTCACTGTTGCTCAGGTGGAGCCGTGGAGCTCACTGGGGTGAAATCCTGGCTGGCTGTGGAGCTCACTGGGGTAAAATCCTGGCTGGCTGTCGAGCCACAGCAGCCCTGGGGGGCTGGTGTAGCCTCTTCCCACCCTGTTGCCCAGCAGAGCCCACTGGGGAGAGCTCGGGGGGGAACCCAGGCCGAGTCCCCGGCGGCCGACGCCTTTTCCAGCTCCCACACTCTCCTCTCCTTTCCGCAGAAATTCCAGTTGCCAATGAAGGAGACCTGTGTTGGGTGCCAGAAGACCGTGTACCCCATGGAAAGGCTCTTTGCCAACCAGCAGGTGTTTCACATCAGCTGCTTCCGCTGCTCCTACTGCAACAGCAAGCTCAGGTACCCGCCCTGCTCCCCTCGGGAGGGTGTTTTCCTCTGCTCAGGCTCAGCAGAGCTGGAGCCATCCCAGGAGTGGTTCCACAGGCCTGGTTCTGCCAGGGGTGTTCCACAGGCCTGACTCTGCACTTTGGTGCAGTTTCTAAACCTCTTAATGTGATTTTTACGGTGGGGGGGAAAAAACAGCGCGTCCGGCTCGGCGATGAATTCTTGGAAAGAGCCAGGCAGGATGCAAACCCTGGGGGCTGTGAGCTCGTTGGGAGGGTGGAATTGAGTCTCTTGAGTGACACCACTGAGGCAGAGGCCTGTGTTGGTGGCCCTGAGCTCTGATGTCTGACTCTGTTTCCCCCCCCAGCCTCGGGACGTACGCGTCGCTGCGGGGGAACATCTACTGCAAACCCCACTTCAGCCAGCTCTTCAAATCCAAGGGCAACTACGACGAGGGCTTCGGGCACAGGCAGCACAAGGAGCTGTGGGCGGGCAGAGCGGAAGGGGAGGAATCCCCGGAGAAAACCCTCCCCGGGGGGAACGCGACGGAAGCCCCGCAGAGCCCCGGGGTGGAGGAGGCCCCCATTGCCAAGGTCGGGGTCCTGGCAGCGAGCATGGAGGCCAAAGCTTCGGCCGTGCCCGAAAGGGAAGAGAGACCAGCGGAAACCAAGAAGCTGCGGATCGCCTGGCCCCCTCCCTCCGACCAGAGCGTCCAGGGAAGTGCCTTAGAGGAGGGCATCAAGGTGCTCAAACCCAAGTGGCCCCCGGAGGAAGAGGTTTCCAAGCCGGAGGCGCAGGAGGAGGTGGATCTGGATCTCAAGAAGCTGAGGAGATCCTCCTCGCTGAAGGAGCGCAGTCGCCCCTTCACGGTGGCGGCCTCGTTCAGAACGGTGTCCGTGAGGGGCCACAGGGCAGAGAACTCGCCCTCTCCTCCCAAAGCCGAGAGGGACACGTGGAGGAAGGGGGAGGAGCTGGAGAGAGAGGAGAGAAAGCCAAAGGAGAAGAAGGTCGAGCACAGGAACATCCAGAATGAGGAGAAGAATGTGGAGGAAGAGCAGGAGTCGTGCGGGGTCAGAACGGCAGAGCTCGGCGTCGTGGAGAACGGGCAGGGGGGTGTGGAGACAGACGAGGAGGAACACGCGGCGGGAGAGCCGGAGAGCCCAGAGGAAGAGCTCCTGGAGCCGAATTCTCCCAGACGTCCCAGCCTGGCCCACGTGGTGACTGCCAAGGAGTCCTCCCCCGACCAGCACCGCAAATCCCAGGACGTGGGTTTCTGGGAGGGCGACGACGTGGAGGATCTGTCCGTGGAAGAGCAGATCAAAAGGAACCGTTACTATGAAGATGATGACGACGACGATGATGAAGAATAATAAATTGGCCTTTTTTCACTAGGAAACTTGCTGCAAGGTGCTGGGCCTTTTGGAAATGGGTATTATTTTTGTTTTAGCTTTAACAAACAGCTCTCCTCCACGAAGCGATGCCACGCTGCACGTCAAGGGAATCCACGTCCAAATGATCTCAACTGGGGAACTCTGGAAGCCTGCAAAGAGTCTCTGTGGGCGCACGGGGACGGGTGTCTGTGGGACAGCAGCAGCAGGGGATGTCTGCCCACGGGCTGTCCTGTGCTTGTCTCATCCCTCTGGGCTTAAATACGTGTTCCACCAACCAACAATTCATGGAATTCCACCACCAACCTGTGGAATTCCGGGACAGGCCCTCTGGAACACGCCACCTGTACCACTACCAATGCTACTGCAGTGCTTTAGGGACCAACTTCAAAGGGACTTTCTGGCCTGCTTTAAAAATGGTCACTTAATGCACTTTAATACGTGGAAAGGGGCACAACTGGGCTTTTATATATTTTTTTTTCTTTTTTTTTTTTTTAATAATAATAATAATAAAAGAACCATTTCCGTGCGTGGCGTCCTGGAACCGAGTGCAATGTGAATTTTGGTGGCTCAGACCCGCCCCTGATGGGCTGGGCAGTCCCTGCCCTCTGTCCCTGCCCGACTGGAAGGTTCCCCGTTGCTGGACCCACGTGTATTTTAGTGCTTTCCCAGGAGCTGTGCCGGCTGCCGGGTCTCTTTGAGGGCGAGTGAACACTTTTTTTTGAGCAGCCTGCAGGGCATTACTTCTGCATTTCACACCCATTTGAAGTGGAGTTGTTTTTTTTTTTTTTTGTTTGGTCTGTTTTTTTGTTTTTGTTTTTATTATTTGAATTTCCTCCTCGCCGCCGTTTTAAACCGCAAATAAGATTTTTAAGGCCTTCTGACAACTCTGGAAATCCTGCTCGTATCAAGCTGCCATAAATCTCTTCCTTACAGCTGTGAAATGATGCTGCATTGCAAAAAACAAACAAAAAAAAATCTCTGGAATCAACCAGTGACACTTTTCTGACTTGCCAGCGTTGAGGCTTAGAAAACGTTTTTAAACTTGACTTTGTTTATTTTACAAATAATAAATTCTTGAGGGGAGGAGGAGGAGGAGGCCCTTTTGTATTAGCTTTTATTTGTACTGTACTCTCAAGAGAATTAGCTCTTACCTATACTTGAGGTGTAAAATATTCTGCTTTCTTAACAGTTCTGCTGCCGACCAACCCTTCAATAAAGTTCGGTCATTTGCATTAAAATGGAAGCCTGGATTCAGCTCCTTTTAAAAGGACCCTGGGAATCATCCTGGAATGGTTTGGGTCAGAGGGACCTTAAAGATCATCTCATTCCCACCCCCTGCCATGGGCAGGGACACCTCCCACTAGCCCAGGTTGCTCCAGCCTGGCCTGGGACAATTCCAGGGAGGAATTTCTTCCCAATATCCCACCTAACCCTGCCCTCTGGCAGTTTGAACCCATTCCCCCCTGTCCTGGCACTCCAGGCCCTTGGAAATAGTCTCTCTCCCCCTTCCCTGCAGGTTCCCTTCAGGCCCTGGAAGGCCACAATGAGGTCACAATCCCAATTTTCCAGCCTCTTCTCCCCCCCCAAGTCCTTCTCCCCAGGGCTGTGAAGGGACTGAGGGAGAAGATGGGTGGATTCCCGGTGTTCTTACTGGAATTCCAGGGTTGTCACTGGAAGCCAGCCCGGGATGGGGATGGTGCCACTAGGTGACACTGTGTGCCCGTGTTTCCCAGAGGCAGTTTCTGCTCTCGAATTCAAGGAGAGGGATTAGAACAGGAGGGACAGAAGGAATAAGGACCTCCAGGGATTTTTCACTCCCACTTCTGGCTCCAGAGCAGCTGAGGAGACAACTGAGAGCTTTTTTTTTGTCCCCTTTCCTATCAGCTGCTCAGTTTGCAGTTCCCAACTTGAGCCCGAGGTGGGTTTGGTCAGGAGAGATGGGGATAAAGAGCCAGAAGAAAAGCAGGGAAAGTCCTGCAGCAGCGTGAGAAGCTGCCCATGTGTGTGCCAAGGATACCAGGGAGGGAAAAGCAGCCTGCTGCCCAGCTGGGAGGTGTTGGCAGCCCCACAACCTCCTTGTCCTCTCTTTTTCAGGGAGAAGAGAGACGTGACTTGCACAGACCGAGGGAAAACTCAAAAAGCTGATGTGTGATCCTGAGCTGCTTTCTGTCACCTTTCTCTCTTCCACTTGGTGTCAGGTTTCCTTTAAGTGACTAAGCAGTTGGAGATCCTTCTGACTGGAAATTGTGCTGTTTGAAAAGGGGGGGGGAAGAATATTCGTTGTGGACTTGGATTTATGGATTATGCCAACTGCTTGTTTCTTAGGAAACGCCATTGGATTTTACGGCGTCTCCCCGGTTACGTGATACTGAAGCAGCACTGGCTGCACTTAGCAGAGGCTTTAATCACAAAATCATTATTTCTGGTTAATTCTGAGGTACCTCTGAGTCTCTGAGACTGAACATCTCAGCTGAAGATGTTCAGCTGAAGATCTTCAAGGAGAAATCAGCACAAGCGGTACTGCTTGTTTAAAAAAAAAAAAGAAGTGAGCAGATCATGAATTACTCCGTCCTCGAATCTATTAGTTATGGGAGTATTTGAGTGCTTAATGGGCCGTTTAATTTGCTCTCTGACTGGACAGGTGCCAGAAGAGCCATTAAACGAAGGATGGATCGTTTGCCGGCCGCGCGTGAGGTGGTTGGTGTCGAACCACCTTTGTGGAGAGGTTGGGAACCTCACCACGAGCTAAAAGGAATACGTTAAACTCTGCCAGCAGGGTTTTTGTGTCGCTGTAAATGTTAAACTGCGTCTCTGTTAATGTCACTAAAACTAATCCTTGGGATCTTGCCATAAACTCTCCACACGGGAGGCTGCTCTGGCAGGTCCGGGCCCTTTCCCTGCACGGGCCGTGGGCCTGCCGGAGGAATTATATCGTGGAATTGTGGAAAAGTTTGGGTTGGAAGGGACACTAAGGGCCATCCAGTTCCATCGCCCTGCCACGGTGGGATTCTCGGGGCTGTGCAGGGCCAGCAGATGGACTTGGTTGATCCTGGTGGGCACCTTCCGACTCAGGATATTCTGGGATTCTGCGCCCATTGGCTTACATAGTTCTCTTCGTTAATTAGTAGTCTATCTTCTACTGAAAAAAAGCGGACTAATCAGCATGAGAAGTGAGAAATCAATAACCAGTAGAAGACAGACTAT